GGGGGGGGGGGGGGGGGGGGGAAAGACCGCGGTTATTTTGTGTCCGAAAACCAGGCTATATATTACATACACGAACAACGCAGTAGACCTTACATCCTCGGGGATCACGTCGTAGATTGGCTTCGTACCCTGATCTTGGATTACGAGACGCGAAATCTTCGCGTTTATAGCTGCCTTATGCTGCGTGGGAATATTTGCATAAAATTTAGCACTGAAAGCTGCTAAATGTGGGATGTAACGTCACTCCCAATGACGTTATTACAAGCAAGGTCCGCCCGCCTAGTGAAGTTGGCCAATCGCTCAAAATTACACAAGTAGAGCGGGCCCAAGGCATACTATTTTTCGCGTCGTTGATTTAGCAAGCAAAAGGGAAGGAAAAGAATATCGTCGTCTGCAAAAATAACCTCCACACGAGCAGAGTCGTTGTAATCTTGACTTTATTGCAGTCTCCTTTGAAGATTGGCGCAATTTGCGATGTCAGGTTACATATATTTAAAGCGTCTGTCCAGAATTAAATACGTATATAAATGAGATGCAAATTCTACAGGCATAAAGTAAGTTCTCCTATGCGACTTTAATGCGTTTATAATGTTTAACATTAAACGGAGTAAATGCTAATGCAAGGTGAGAAAACATGCACTTATCAAAACCATAACTTTTCCAGTCCTCGTCTTCAAGTGTGGTTTCATTGATTTTAATGTGCTGTGAACAGATTTAAACACAAATACCAACAATAAATATTTACATAACCAGAATATTGACGTAATTGTTTTCTGATCAATTTTGTGTTGTGTTTGTCTAATCATGGGTCTGCGTGTTAATATAAAAGGTACATTGAGTGGTTTTTAAACATAGAAATAGAGAGAGAGATTATCTTTTGAGATTTCATGGCGGCTCAGTATTTACTGTGACTAATTAGAATGAGCTCTGGTCATAACCATGTTGCAATATCATCATGTAGTCAAGTCTCCAATCTAAAAGAGGCAGGTTTTCACGGCGATGAACGTGTCGGTATTGGCCTTCTCGATAGTAATGGCGTGTGGACATGTAGCCACACAACGCTTCTATCTTCAGGGCTGAAGATGGAGTCAGTACGTTCTTCCGAAACGATGGTTTCTACCTACAAGGTCACACAAGCTGTTATACCCTGAAGACGTTATCGTCGAAAGCCATTCCTTATGTTGACGAAACGCATGACTAGGTGACGTCGTGACAACATTCCACAACTGTACTTGATTTTAAGTGCATGTGCAATCAGGCCATTAAACAGGCGAGTGGCAGGCTCTTTCCTATCTGTATAGGCCCTACTCATTTTCTGAAGCATGAAGACCTGTAATGGGCAACAGTTTATACTCGAAACTACGTCTGAATTCTGAGGAACTTGCGTTAACAGAAAGGCAAAGGCAGAATACAATTGAAGAACGAGATTTTATCTACACAGAAATGTAAGCTGTGATTAACGATACGAGGTACTCATGTATACGTTCCCGATTCACAGAAAATTATCTCAGCGTCTTTGCTAAAATTCCTTCCGTTTTGTTCCTGCTGTTGATTCATGTCACAGGCATTTACTTAGGGGCTTACGAACATTACACCGGTAACCATATGATTAATAATTCTGGGTAGGAAACGATCGTGGTATACACAAGGTATCGCGCTATAATTCTGAGAAAAACCGTGACAGTACACCTGCCTTCCTCTCGAAAATTTCAGCGTGATTGCACAGAATGCCCCAAACAGATGTGTACACACAACTATTATATATTTTTTTGGGACATGCTGTAGATAGTAGGCGAATGACCACGTTACCGTGCTCGATATTATTTTTACAATAAATTATGGCACCAAAAGTTACACTCCAAACGCGTGTTTCGGTTCGTTTCGTTATACGCGCATTCGCTATCCACGGTTTTATTTCACCATCATGAGAAGCATCAATATCCTATCCGCGGCCGTGGTAGAAGCTGCCTCGCATGCATAGTGAGTTGTTCAGTTTCACCGATTCGCCCCACTATTTAGACTTTAGCGACTACAAATTAAGGCCTCTCATTGTGCATCATTCTGAAAATCCACGGAGCTTTATACGTTTCCCAGTTTACGCCGCGATTCGCCGGAACGCAACCCCCGCGTATAACGAGAGTCACCTGTATAAGAATATGATGAAAGAAGAATGTGAAAGCCCCTTTCTCATATGCACAGACCTACTTATCTTTATGAAATCCATGATTCTACACGTGTACTGAAAACACAAGAACTATGATAACTAATCTCAAGGGGAGACCGTATTTTCTGAACACCTGACAGTCTTAACGTAGTGCCATCAAACGAAACAAAACTATCATTCGTGAAATACTGACTGTTTATTTTCCTACAATATAGATAACAATTCCAAACTAGTTGCCAACGAAATATAGCTAATTTAGTTCAAAAATCATGACAGCCAGCCATTAAAACGACTTGTAATATCGTAAGTAGGACATATTGTGACAACCAAGTACTACTCCGCCTTTATTTCTGTCGTATTTCAGACTGCAACGAACAAGCAGCGTGGATCCTCTTTGACATTTTGTTCGAAAAAACTGCGTTTGTGTAGTTATCACTCATCTAGAAGAAATGAATCTGTTATTCAAAATACTGCATTGAAATTTATGCCGTGTGATAATGCAGAACATATTTACAGTTCCATGACTCGAATGCAGTAATTGCCGTCGAAAAGTCCGTGGGTCGAGTCTCGGTGTGGACGACTGTCCTGGCCTCCTCTCCCACAAGTCTGTATGAGGTATTCGACCTCTAGCATTCCAATTTCTTCCACATGCAACTTTTAAAAAAACCTGCCGCTTATTCGTGAATGTGATCAGTCGGTTCTCACGATCCGATTAAGAAGCAGCAATTCTGCGTGTCGAAATTTGCCGAGCTGTTGCATCCATTCTGTTTGTACTACCCGCCAAATGTTATGAGGGTGATCAAAGATGGACGGGACGCGCAGCACAGTTGACAATTATTCATGCATAATTTAATTCACAGAAACCTGAGGGGAAAAGAGAACTTGGGAAAACTAGGCGTAGATGGGAAGATAATATTAAAGGGGATAAAGCTTTTGATGCTGGTATTCCGGGCTATAACACCGTGTGCACACGTGGGTAGATACCAACGCAGGAGAAACTGTCTCAGTCTTCCGGAATACTTGTAAGATCTGAGTTTCGTCGAAAAGTGCATAAGGCGTTTCGCTACCACCTTGACCTTTCCATATTTACTTCCTATCTTAACTGTGTCGTAGCTCAGACTCGAAAATAATTTGCGTCCAGTATATAACCGTGCCTTAAATCGATGACGAGATCAAGTCTTCGATGGTTTAGCATAACCCATCACTTTTTGTCTACAGGACTCTTGACAGCAATTACGTATTTATGTGTGCAGGTGGTGAGTCGTGCAGCAAGCGGCTTGCTGTCAGCCCACTACAGGGTGGATTCTCACCCGCACATCAACTCTCTGCATGAGGTACTCTTAGGAGAACAGTTCCTATACCTCGTGTTCCCACCAGCACACGGAGACTTACATTCGCACGTGAGGCTTCGGAAGAGGCTCCGGGAACCCGAGGCTCGAAGACTGTTCAAGCAGATCGCGGAAACGGTCCGCGCCTGCCATGATCAAGGGATCGTACTTCGTGATCTCAAGCTCAGGAAGTTCGTGTTCGCCGATCCTCATAGGTAAGTTGGAGAAATGTTACGGCAAACCACGGTCACACGTGGCAGAATTCTGCCTTATTATGCCAGTCCTGCGCGTCACGCTGAAGAATTATATCTCTTAATAGCACGGTCGGTCGGTAGTCATGGAAGATTTGTAATCCGATGGGAGGACGATAAAGTGGATATTAAACGCAGTGAAGTTTGAGGGCGTTAACTGGATTCATCAGGCTTAGGAAAGAGTCCAGAGGCTGACTCTACTGTAGATAATAACGAGCCTTCGGCTTCCTTTAAAGGCAAAAGGCGGTTGTGTCATTTATTTATAAGTGGAAGTTGGAATGGTCCCCATGCAAGTCATTGACGTTTGTATGATGTACATCGTGTTTCATCACCCGCTTTCATCCTCATTG